ATGTATGTTGATATACTTATTCCATGATAATCTATGTTTATCCTTTTGTGTGATGTAAATTAAATGCTGAATGGCGGTTCATGCAGGGAAATAACATATCAAAATTCGCATATTCATTCAAAAACATGAAAATTCTTAATGGAGTACCCTCATTTCTTATTGAATTCCTAAAAAACAATATTTATAATGAATTTTAATAAATTTTTTGGATTTTTTTGTAAGCTTTATTCTGACCGATTCACCAGATTCCCGATCCGGATCCCCGATTCCCCGATCCGGATCGATTTTTTGGGTGCCCGATCCATCACCAATCCGTTTTTTAAACCATTGGTTTATACTTATAGGCAAAAGATATCATACTCAAGAGTCAAGACAAGTATACACGGGTGTCTCAAGCCCCATTTTGGTTGTTCTCTACCATGTGACCATCAATAATAACGGTGGATGTCCCATGTAATATCTCTGGAGGTGGAATTGGTTAAAAGAAAAATTTTACATTCGGTTTGGAGTTGGTTCTCTATGACAAAGGAAGGGTTTGGAGTGACCAAAGCGGATGATGAGATTAATTTGCATAATTTGATGTTTAAAAAAGTAATGAAAATGAGACTAAAAGGTAGGTGGAGCTTATCTATGCTAGGGAGTATCAAACTTAACTTCGATGGAAGCTCATTAGGAAACCCAGGCCTATCTGGAGTTGGAGAAATTTTACGTTTGGAGAGGCGATCTTTTATTTTGCTGGCCCTTGTGGGGAGGTAACGGCTAATGAAGCAGAATTGGCTGTGTTAGAGTGTGGAGTTCAAATTGTGATTAAAAAGAATATCAGAATCCCATGTATTGTAGAAGAGGATTATGTGAATGTGATAAATTAGTGCAATAAAATATCCAGACCACCATGGAGCCTGAGGAGGAAATTGCTAAATATTATGGATTTGTGTGAGGGTCTCCAAATCTCATTTCAGCACGTGTAGAGGGAGGCTAGTGACATTGTCAATGGATTGGCAAACCGATGGGTATCTATGCATAATTTGTCTACTTCATATGGTTCCCTTTCTGATTGGTTGTAACCTATGAATGATTAATAAAGCTTTAATAATATTGTCAAAAAAAAAAAATCAACAAATTTTTTTTTGAAATCTGTGCAATTTTACGTTGGATATCTTGGGGTTGATTGTTGTATTAAAAAAAAAAAAATCAATACGTAGATCATGGATATGGATTAGAATCACTAGAGAGGCGGAGAGACGATCAAGATCCCCACCACCCCAATTCTATAATTTTATTGTTTTGCCTTCTAGGTTTAGACCGGCTTTCCTCATATGAATTGTTAAAATAGTGGATTGGACAGGCCACCCAGTGATTTTTTTTAAAAAATACTAGTGAAAAATGTGAAGAGTCCCAGTTCTACCAGATTAATATAGAATATGTATATTGTAATCAATATATATGACAATGGTAAGTACAATATACACTTTTCTTCCACATAAAATATACAATCCCTTTAAGAAGGCCAAAGATAGGAATAAAGGGTTGATTTATTGGATGGGTTGTGTCAATGTTTGAAAAAAAAAAAAAGAAAAAAAAGAAGAAGAAAGAGTAACAATAAAGGGTAGGCTAAAGAGAGAGTCCCATTGGAGAAAAAAATCCATGGCACGTGAATTGAAAGGAGTTATAAGTTAGACAAAAATAGAGAAAAGCACTCCCACATTCCAAAAAAAAAACAGGGCCATATCCAAGAGTAAATCAAATCTCGGGAGAGATATCGAGCCATTAAATAAAAAACAAGGGACGTAGTTTCTATAAAGCCTAGGCTTTACGAAAACAAAGTAAAGCCTCATTTCGAATTCTAAAGTACAATGGGCATTAGAAATCTCTACCATATATTTAAAACTAATTTCCAATATCGACTGTGAAATTTAAATTTAAAAAAAAATAAAAATCTAGTGGATTTGTGAACACCTATTTTTAGAGCAAAATGGATGGTTTAAATAATGTGTTACAATAACTTCCATTCTAGAATTTAAAATCCTAATTCTTTTCACAACCATAATATCCAAGACATAAACAATGGAATTGAAGGTTTTCCAAGACCATAGCTACACAATTTTCGATAAGATTTGAAATAAGGTTTTCCTTGTTTTGATACTGCTGCAGCCCTATTTGCACACGGCCGTACCTCACAATCTCACCTTCACAAACTCTCTTCAATGTGCATACATGAAAAGAAAAGGACACCATGCAGGAACACTACGGCAAGTAATTCATTCCAAATTTAATGAATAATAATAGCTGTCCTACACCTGTGGTCATGTCAGGCTCGAGCTAAGTCCAAAGTCTTGTACGACTCCTACAGTCTTCATAAATGAATTATAAAACAATAATTATTATAAAATCCAAATTAAAAAAAAACGTCGGTTCTCTTTGACCCACGGGTTAAAGAATAAGGAAAATTGTTTCATGGGGCTGAACCGCATCCTTTCCATTTGAAAACAATGGAAATTAGTGGTTCAAATGGTTTTTTATTAAAATTATTAATTTTAATTTTAATTTTAACTTTTATATTCATGATCTACATGTTAGATATTACATGTCTTTAAAAATCAAGGCTTAAAATCAATCTAAAAAATATATGTATTAAGGGGCATAAAAACCGGGTCCAAAGAATAAAGAACCTTTTCCATGAAAACTCGCCGCCACGCATTCGGAATTCGGACTACAAAACCTTGGGCTCTTCTTTCCCTGTCAGGACGCGGAAAGTCGACGGGTTGCCCTTTTTCACGTGGAGCAGGTATTTCATGCTTTCGTAGAAGTATACTATGCATTTACTCCTTCATACAAAATATTTATTTAGAAAGTTCATTTTAGTCTAAAATTTTGGAAACTACATGAGAACTACCAGATGATTATTTTCAAAAGAAAAGAAATTAATTTTTTTTTTTGTGATACTCAAATGTAGCTCTTCAAATATTGGATGACCTCTACTCACTCTTGAGGCATTATGTTTATATTGGATTTTTTTTATTCAGATTAGTTCATGGGTTGCAGAGGTTAAATCCACAAAATTTGAGATTTAAAAGATGTACTTAACATGTGTTATACCCAAGGGAATGAATAGATGATTCACTCCCGCGGGAGTAAGAAAATTTTTTGGCTTTACTTTATTATTTTAAATACACAAAACAAAATTATGACAAACACGACTAAAGCCTGGAATTCTGAGTTCGTCAAATGTGCCCCTAACTATTTTGTGATGCCACCAACGCCCTTGTTTGTAAAGTTGAACGTGGACTAATGGTTCTCTCCTCTCTTAACCGTTTATATAAAGTAGATACATTATAATGTAGATGTATAGATAAGGAGAAAAAAATAGATTTTAAGTTTTAAAAAGTAGTACATCTTGTAAATATATTACTTGGAATATCCTTTTTCAATATTTTTACGTATTTAGATCTATTTGATCTGAATTATTTTTAGAGTTTAAAAATTTATAATTAGAAATAAAAATAGATTATCGCGCTATCTTAAGAATTTTCAATACCTAGATTGCATCTCATGAGTTTAGGCCCTTAAATAATCGGATGAAACTATGCGAAAAAAAAAGTGAAGTGAAAAAAGTTAGGTTTGTTTCATATTCATATTAAAAGTATGAGACATTGACCAATATCAAGGATCCCCTAAAACAACTTAAAGGCGTAAATTGTTGTGAGATCGGTTCGCAAGCAAATAGCATAAACATACCCTTTGAGCTAATAAGGGAGGAAGAAATGACCTTTAGAGAATTTTTAATATTTGTTTTTGCCAAATTCCTATAGTTAACTATTAGAGATTTTTCCAGTATGAAAAATATTGAAAATTGCATATTGATGACTAAGTTTCATGTATACTGAAATTCTTATAATAAAAATTACAAAGGTTTTAAAAATCAAAAGGATTGGACTGGAACCAATAAGGTTGAATCAGGAATTATCGAGGTTGGTCTAGTTCTACCTAAATATCGGGAACCAGTTGGTTCTATGACAGAACCGTACTGCTCCCACTTTATTTTTCTAGTATTTCTTTAAATTTTATGTCCCCTGATTTTTTTAATGTTTTATTTGTCAGTTCTTTAGGATGGACCACCAATCCACCGATCTAGACCAGTCTTTTGGAGGGCCAATGTGGGTCACTTAACTATTTTTAAACCTTGAAATTTACTGTAGTTTTACACAATTATTTTTGGCCAGAGAGATATTGATATCTCTTGAGAGTATTGTGCATTTGGAAATTGATTCTTGGTCACAGGGGTGGTTGATTTGATGAAAGATGGCGTCCAAAAAACAAAACAGAAAAATGGGATTCGGACGGCATTTACAAAAAAGGTAGGGACTTCTTTCAGTAATTTTGTCTAATATTGAGGGGAACCCTTCTCTTTCGGCCAAGTGCATGCAGCCCAAAAGTTCAAGTTGTCACGATTTCTTCTCGCAACTCTCTCTCTCTCTCTCTTCAAATTGTGACAAATTTCACATCCCTCATCTCCAATTGTCTCTATTTCTCTCTCTCTCTCTCTCTCTCTCTCTCTACTCTCTACTATCTACTACTCCTCTCTACTATCTACTAATTGTCTCTCTCTCTCTCTCTCTCTCTCTCTCTTCAAATTGTTACAAATTTCTTGTTCCTCTCAGATCTCCAATTTTTCACAAATTTCATCTCTCTCTCTCTCTCTCTCTGGTTTGAACCTGCGATGGTCATGGCGAAAGGAACTCGTTATCACAAGGCCTACTCAAACAGGCGGTCCACTCAAACCTTAATTCTCGCTGCTCTTGTCATGTTTTCTGTCATGGTCCTCATGCTTCTCGCTCTTGGCATGTTCTCTCTACCTGTTTCTACCACCCCATCACACGAACCCATTGAACGAACTACTGTACATCTTGAGAAGGATGGAAACGAGTAAGTAATATCCTCCTTTTCTAGCTCCATTGTGGTGTAATCTTCATTTAATTTTACCTTACTTAAATGTTTATTCAATTTCTTCGCTGGAGCTTTCATGGCCTGTATTGTTTTCAATTGATTTGTTTTCTTTTTCTAAATTGCTTTTTACAGTAGAGAAGAGCGAAAACAATGGACTGAAATATTGTCTTGGGAGCCTCGAGCGTTTCTTTTTCACAATTTTTTGGTGAGTATATGCCCTTTTATTTGTTGATTTAATTGTTAATGTTTTAAAATTTCTGTTTGGTATTTTAAATGAAATGATCGAAATCTGCATTTTATTTTTCTCTTCCCCTTCTAATTTTTTAATTATTCTGAATTTCAATTTATATTTATGTTTTAAATGTATATGCTATATGTGCATGAATTTTTTTTCAGAACTTGGATATCCCAATTTACGTGTTGCTGAATATGTAGATGTTTTAATGTATATGGTTTTCTATGGATTAGTCCCATTAAGGTGGTAATCTGATTCAAAAAAAGTTCAGTTTATAAATATAAGTTGAACAAGAGTTTACATTTGGACACTGTAAAACATTTTTGGTTGCTTGGTTGAAGCTGATCGCTTTTCACATTTTACTTTGGGGAAAAAGAAACATAAAACTCGCTTTCCGTTAGTTTCTATCTGTGATTTATATCTTTCTTTGGACGTCAAATTTTTTCCATAATCCATACCTCTTCTGCTTCTGCTTCTGCTTCTGCTTCTACTGTTAAGGTATTCATGATTTTATAATCCATGAGTTTTCTGCTCATTAGATGGATCCAAAATGTTTGGATTATGGATTGTAATTTGGTTTTCCATGTAGCTTACTTGTTTCCTTTTTTTTTTTTATAAGAGTGTTTTGTTCTTTTCTTTGATTTGTGTATTAGTCAGATATTGCATTGACGGTGTAGTCGTATTTGTTGAGGGCAGTCTCATCCATTACATAGGAACGATGGTATCGTAGTTGTATGCATAATTTACAGCTTTTGTGATGAATGCAACAGATCATTCTCTCATGTTCTCCAATTGTTCTATTTGTCAATACTATTCTCCATTCCTTTCAATTGGTATTTTCTTCCCATCCCTGCAGTCATCACATCCTAAACTTTCTGGATTATACAGATTATAGAACAATATGAAGGAAGCTATTTTAATCTACTCCATTCATATACCTTCATCTAGGTCACATTTTTGGAACATTGAGTATAGGGTTAAGGCCTAGATGTCCTAAACTTTTACATGGTTGGTTCAAGGTTTCCAATATTTGAGTTTTGATGAAAGAGATCTCTAGGTTTTTGTTTTTGAGAAATGGTGTCCTGGACTGCACTGGAATTTCATGAAGCATTGGCTTTGGAATTGAAAAAGTCTGGCTTGAAAAGAATATATCGTTTTACTGGACTGCTGCTTAGATGTCTATACTGCACGGTGATCCGCACACTATTGGATATGGGAGTGAAGTATCTTGGACAGGTTTATTGGTCTTGGATCTATGTGGTGGTATTCGACCTTAAATGCATTGCGTAAATAGTTTAAATTTTTGTGGCACCTTGCTTTGAGTGAGGCCTTTCACTTATTTTTTGTTCGAGTTAGAAGGAGATTGTGATTCTTCAACTCATGCACATATCAAAAGGGAAGATTTGCTAGTCAAGCTCATCAAAGTCTATGTTAATCTTTCGCAAAAAAGATATGCTATTGGAGCTCTGGCTAGCATCTCAACTTGGATTCAGATGAAAAACCTAGGACAAATGAGCCACTCCTAAAGAATCAAGATCAAGGTTTTGAAGCTCGGCTTGGGCTTGGGACTCCCCCCTTGTCTGAATCGTGTTCGAGCGAGTCTGAATGGACCTGCCCTAGTAGTGCTTGTCCATCAAGGAGTTGGGAAAATTCAGAAAAAAAAGGCAAAATCCCCAAAAAACTGAAAATTTGTAATTATAATAAATCAAAATTAATGTGGAAATAGAAACGTTATGCGCAAAATTATGTACATAATGGCTCTGAAAATGTCAGGCTTTGAGATACGTTGTACATTGTGATCTACTTGGGCCTAGTTCGTATACACCAACAGGATATAATGTGATTGTACATTGATGGGGTGGATTTATGGTGAATAAGAAATATAGAATTATTTCTAATTCATCATTGGAAGTAGAACATAGATCCACGAGTTCTTGAGTGCATAGTGGGATTTTATAATTTGTGTAAGCTTAACTGACATGAAAGTTATGCCATCTAGTGCGACGTTGTGATAACCTTGGCCACAATTATGGTAACCTTGGTGCATGCACAGATTGCTTCTAGACTGGTAATTTATGATCTTCATGATCAGGTGCTACATATTGTGTTTAGTTGTCACAAATCACAATCTAATATTGTTTTCATCCTATAGATCATAAACCTTCTCACAAAGGCCATGAAATTGCTTGACACTAGTTATCTGCTGGTAAACTATGAGTTATAGTTCTTCAAGGCATTCTCCTGGGGAATGTTAGATTCGATCAGATTATGTAAGTGTATTTCATTTGTATATTCATTGTATGATGTAGGGGTTGTACTAGCTGAGTTGAGTGATTTATCGGGAAAAGAAATGAGAGACAAGAAAATATCTGTTTTTGTTTGATCGGTAGTGACCATAAAACATGTTTGATCATGATTAAAAAGAGAAGGTCATTTTAGCTGAATACAAGAATATGGAGGCCAGTTCCCAGAAACAACTTGCGGTTGGAGGGGGGGGGGACATTTTTGTGTGTGTGTGATAGAGAGGTCTCATATCGACCACGTGGAGGACTTGTTCTTCATTTTCTTCTATTTATATGTAGAGAGAGAGAATATGAGTCCCTGAGAGGAGGAGAGAGGGGGGGCTCATATCAAACACTTGGAGGGTCACTGTCTTCTTTCTCTTCTTATTATATGTAGAGCGAAGAAGGGGGGGCTCATATCAAACACTTGGAGGGTCACTGTCTTCTTTCTCTTCTTATGATATGTAGAGCGAGAGCTTATGGGTCCATGTGTGTGACTGTGATAGTGAAAGACCTCACATCGAACAATTGGAGAGCACGTTCTTTTTCTTCTTCCTTAGTTCTTTTATATGGAGAGAGAGAGAGAGAGAGAGAGAGAGAGAAAGCACATGGCCTGTGAGCGAGAAAGAAGGGCCTTGAGCCTTTGGCCATTTTAATAGGCCTTAACTATTTTTTTAATTTTTTAAGGGTGTTTACGCTTTTTTTTTGGGTGGCACTAGGCGCATAGGGGTTTGGGGCTCGACCCCCAAAACTCTTTTCGGCCCTTTTCAGGGCAGAAATTACTTTTTTTGCCCTTGGCCAAGGGCTTTTTTCTGTCTTCGACCAATTTGCTCCAAGGTGCTGACTAGGTGGCGCCTTGGCCGCCTAAGCGGGTGCCCTGGCCTAGGTGTTTTGGCCTCCCAGCCACCTAGGCAGCCTGGGGGCCGAATTTGTGGACAATGGCTGAAAATCATGTTTTGACTTTTGAATTTGTGGGTTTTGCACCCTCCTCGTGTACGTCTACAATAACAAATATATACTTAAAAATATTAAATTAATGACTTAATTGTTTGATTGAACAGTCAAAGGATGAGTGTGAGTACCTAATTAGTCTTGCAAAGCCACATATGGAGAAGTCAACTGTTGTTGATAGTACCACTGGTCAGAGTAAGGACAGCAGGTTTGGATTTTCTCCACCTATGTTGTTATGAAATTCTAGGTGAAACTATATCTCATGAAGACTGCATTTCTTGATTGATTTTCTTTGTTTTTGTTTGTAGAGTGCGGACAAGCTCGGGCATGTTCCTCAAGAGAGGGCAAGATAAAATTATACAGAGCATAGAGAAACGAATTGCAGATTTTACCTTTATTCCCGTAGGTACAGTATTTGGATGAACCTTCTTGATGTTATCGTGATTATTAGCAGCTGGTTCATTTTATTTGTCGAGTAATTCTTTTGTATTTTAATTTTTTCATACAATATTTGTTTAGGAGGACATATCTCATACATTAAATATGGAAGGAAGGAACAAAAAGTGGCTGTGATGATTAGTTTGGTCATTTGTGCTATGCTTCTCCATTCAATTCCTGTCCATTAATTTGGTCGTGTTTATTCTTAGCATTAATTTATATGAGTGATCTCTCTGGAACTTCGCTTACTTCAATTACTTTATGTACCATGTTCCATGACTTCCTTTTAGTAACCGTGGCTTTAATGGTATGCATCACATACGTATAGGTCATTTTCCTTTGATACAACAAACGTATAGGTCATTTTCCTTTGATACAACAAACGTATAGGTCATTTTTCTTTGATATATTGTGAGTTGGGGCATGTTGACTCCATCATCCTAGAGCATGTTAAGAACTTAAGGGAGTGTTTGATTATTGGAAGCCACGGCTTCCAGTACTGTAGCGGTTCCCATGTTTGTTAAATGGGAAGTGCTACTCTGTTTTGGAAAGTTGTGCCTTCCTGCTGCTTCCAAAATAGCGTAAATTTTCTTTGGAAGATGTAGGTTCCACACTACCCATGGAAGAGGTGGCTTTTGAAGTTAGTGGAAGAGGCGGCTTTGGCAGCAGACTCTTCTTCAAATCAAACACAGCCTATGAGATGAACAATAAGAGATCTTTTAATGCCAGAAATGACTAAGGGAACCTGAAAGGGTGTGGAAGGGCTATTTGCGGGATTTCAATCGAACTTTGAAGCAAGGGAGGGACAGGGAAGTTTGGCTTGGAATAGATTATGATGTTTGTTAGAGTGGAGAAGTCGAGTGAGTATATAAATGTGCAATTGTAGAAGGGGAGTTTGTGTCATTTTGAGTCCCATAATCGCTCATGGGTTTTGCCTCTTTGGTGGGTTTAGTGTTCTTGACGGAGCTGTTTGTACCTTTTATTCTCTTTTAATTGAATGATCATCACCAAACGACCAAGCTTCCAGGGGAAAAGTGTACCAAGATATGCATATGCAGTTATGCATATCCAAGATACATGTAGACAGTGCATTGGCAATAATCATTCGAACTCACAAGCTAGAACAAGCACCAGATATTCACATCCTTGTGTGCACATGCCATTTATACACTTTTTCATTGATCTTCCATCAGACACAGTAATGGAAAAACAGAGCATATAACATCATAAATGATTATAAATGGTGGCTTGTTCCATAAGATCAGTATACAACTGACCAAGTGTTCGTCGTCTTTATTTTTCCTTTTATCTCCTTGACCTTTGTAAAAGTTTCTTTGCGATCTTCTTACCAAATGCAGTCAAGAAAATGGGCCTTTCTGGGGCCTCGATTTGGACGTTGAATTGTGTTTATTTAATTATTTGTGAAAAAAAAAATGATTACTGAAGATACAATAAATATGGTTAACTTGAGCCTTTGCAAGCATTTGGTGCAGTGCATGGCCATGTCTGAGGCAAGCACGTGGTGTGGAATTAATTGGTTGAGGTTTCCAGCTTTTTGGAGGGACTAATCACCAAAGTTGGCTGCAATTGTATTCCTGTTTTGATTGCAAATCGATTTAATGTGTTGCACTCATTGATCATGTGATGTGGGAAGGTATTTTTGGTGGAACTTGTTGAGAATTTCCATTTTTTTGTGCTGGCTGTAACTACTAGTATCCTAGAAGTCAACGTCGCAATTGAATAGCTGGTTCATCATTGTGGTTTTCAGTGACAATAGGTCTACATCAAGGGTCAACATTGAGCTTGTATTTCTTTGTCTTAGTTATGTACAATTTGACTAGGCACCTATAGGATGAGTTACCCTGATGTATGTTGTTCGTAGATGACATAGTTTTGATCGATAAGACCTGAAACGACATCAACACAAAGTTAAAACTTTAGAGGGATGCTCTAGAGTCCAAAGGTTTTAAAATTAGCCGAACTAAGACAAAATATATGGAATGCAAATTTAGTAATAATATGAGTAGAGTGAGGAAGTAGTTAAGATTGATGGCCAGGAAGTACAAAAAAGACCGCACTTTCTATATCTTGGGTCAATTCAGGAAATTGGATAGATTGAAGAAGATGTCGCACGCAGAATTGGAGCTGGGTGGGTGAAGTGGAGATGTGCGACTGGAATTTTATGTGATCGTCGCATACCAATGAAGTTGAAGGGCAAGTTCTATAGGACAATTGTGAGACTAGTTTTGATCTAGGAGGCTGAATGTTGGACGG